CGTGCATTGCTGTTCTTCCTTTTGTTTATTCTTCCGATACCGTATATCTTGACTCCGAAGACACCGAGCCGGGGGAAGGAATCGAACCATCTCCTATCTGACTAAGAGTCAGATGCATAGAACCACTAAGCCATCCCCGGCTAGCCAATAATTGTTGTTGTAATATTATCGCCATGGTGAAAATGAGAAACAGTGGAATATTGAGTCGACTTCGCTTTTCCTTCGTGACTTTTGAAAAAAAAGGTACTGTAAACAAATGCAAGTTACATTTTTTTCTCAACATACCGACGCCAGTCATTTTGTGTTTGCATGCTTTTTTACCAAAACTTTTTCAGCATCAATAAATCAATACTTGAGAATGAACCATCCATGATTATTCAAATGGAAATATTATAGCTCATGCATCTATTGAAAAATAATTGGGGAAGAGCGACAATTGAACGTAGTAAATTGAATGCAACGACAATTAGTCGCTGAAAAAACCAGTCGCAAAGTAAATATCAGCTAGAACAGAACATCATATTATGTTTGTAATGATGTAACTGACTTATCAAAACTGGTGAACAAGTAGTTGAATTTATATTAGTTGAAAACGACACGACGATGAAGGTTAAAATAGATCATTGTATCTAATAGGCAGAGTTAAAAATACGTAATTAGTATTTAATCGAATTATTTAACCGCTTCTAAATGTTTAAAAAAGAGAGAAACCACATGGCATTTTTTCAAATGATATCATCCATAATTATTGTTACAACTGAAAACAATTAACCCTTACTGATATTTCATGGATTCAATTATACAATTGATAGAACTTCTGATAAAAACACATATTGCAAATATGGGTATTGTCGAACAATTAAATCTAAAGGACGATTACATATAGATTTTAATTTCATTACTATTCTATGTAATAACGATGATTCGAATCATCTTTCAGTTGCAGCAAGCTCTGAAGTGCGATTATTCCATGACAAAAAAAAATAAACACGTTATTACTATATACTAATAAAAATTCTCGATGTTTTTTGTGACAATTGTTTAAAAGATGCATCGGATCAGATAGTAGCTAGCCTTCCAAACTTTAAATACATTACAAGAAACATTCAAAGACAACGCCAATGAAATAGGCTGTATTAAATTCCACAAGCTACAAATTGTACAAAGATTCTGGTATCATTCATCAAAGATGATATAAGATAAGACATGTCCTTTGAATTTGATTCTGGACCTGATGATAATGGTATAGTTATATCTGCATTGACTGCGAAATTAAAAATAACGGAAAATACTGAAGAAACATGAAATGATTACACATTCAAAGTATGTATACTATACATATGGTACCCACACAAGCAGCGTATTTCCATTAGTTATTTGCATTATTTGCTGATAAGAAAAAACAACAATCGTACCAAAATAAATTGATGAATTTTGTCATTTATGCTTTTGATGAAGTCCTAAACCGATCATGGTTGATTTTGACAAGCAGCTCTAAACTCTTTTCAAGAAACTTTTCAAACGGTAACGAACTTTGCTCATGATATTAACAATGTCGTTGCATTGGCAGTTTTTTAACGTCCTTTGACGCTTATCCTTATTTCGAATTTTACAACCAGTAATGAATTATTTCGAAGACACATGTCGGCAGACTATGACCTAACATAAGTGCAATACTAAGATTTCCTACTGAGGTACGGAACATGTTACTGTAACGATAAATAGGACTCTTGCTAGTTGATGTATCGATATTAAGACAGCCTGGATAGAGGTGGAGTAGCTTACCGCCACTCACAGCAATGATGCCTATTCGCTTCTTCACATATTCAGAGTGTAACAACTTCATATATAACACACGTATATATAGGAGAGAGATAGGAGAGAGAGATATTAGAACACTGGAAAGACAACAGAAGGAGGAGGAAGGAGAATCATCGAAGCGTACCATCAATATCGGCACAGTTACTAACGACTAAACTCTATTATTCAATATCAGCATCTATCGCTGTCTGTTTTTTATTGAGAGTCTTAAAAAAGGAGAAAAGTAAATTTACTGTCAAATAGTAAAACTTAACGCTGGTCAAGCTACGCTACAAAGTAATGTAACTTGCTAGTACAATCCCTTCAGGCCTAAAGTGTGGAACTCACACATGTCCCTTAGTTTTACTCAGCTAATGCAAAATCGCTAAAGTGAAAAATCTACCTTTTCAAATGACACTCACCATTTTCTTCGAAAATGTATGTGAGTTCCACAAAACATATTGCAATACAAATTGATTCGTTTGATTAAAGTAATGCAATGTAATAGCATGAAATGTGATTTATTTGACTATCATAAACCGCATTGAATTCATTTCTAATACCTGCAAATGCCTACTTCTGTAATTTCCGTTTTTTTTTAAATTCTATTGCATTTATGTAATCATTTTTTGTAACAAACGATATTACATGCTATTTAATTTAATAATCTAATAAATGAAACAAATGTAGAAATTTCTCATGACAATTCTCCATTAGGTTATTATTAAGGATTATATTATTTTTTTTGTTTTCTTTTTGTTTTTGTTTTTGATTCTCTGCGTTTGTAACGTGTATGTCCTTGGGTTTTTTAGTTAAAAATTATCGTTTAAACGCAAAAAATTTTATATTAGCAAAATGTTTCAATAAAAGCTACTACATTTGTTTCATTGATTTAATAGTAGGAAGTCTTTAAAAATTCCTTCTCAATTTAAAATTTCTAGTTACTTTTGATCTTAATTCATTAAAAGCTCAGTCAAAAATTTGCCATTTTTTTATTGTATAGAAGTACCTTTTGATGTTATTCTCTGTGAGCTGATCAAATTTTAGGATATTTTAAGAAGGGGGTAGCACTCCCTCTCCTCCCCTTAAAATCTTTATTTGGTAAGAAGATACCTAGCATCGGTAACACTATATGTTAACATATCGTATTAACTGTATACAACCTTGAGAAAAAGGTTTTTCTCCTTCAATACCGTTCCTCCTCCACAAATTCCAGCTCATTTTTCTTTAGAGAGAAGGAAGGTTTTCTCCTGCGGATGTATGTGTTATTTGGCTTCTCTTGAATAATATAATATGATATCGAAAATATTTTTCTTTCCCTCCTTTAACAGTGAATAAATACATATATGTATATATATATATATATCAAAAGCAAGCCTATTTAACGAAAAGAATAAAGTCGGTTTCTTCTTGTGTTGCTTATAACTGTAACAACATAGGTAAGTTCGATTTGAATAGTCTCATTCAGTTTCAAGAATATTCGTTTCTTCTTTTACTTCTTTTTTTCTTCAACAGATAGAAACATAGTGTTCATTATTATCTGTTCTTCCATCAATTCATAAATAAATTTTTGAATAAAACTGCGGTTTACATCGGTTTTGAATAACCACTGGTAACCGCAATTTTTCCCTATCGTGTGAAACGGTTTTGAAAATAGTAGATTCTCTAGATACTTCAAATATACGACAGAGCCACTTTACATGTAGAGATGAGATAAGAAAATTCGCGTTAGATTTCTTAATAATAGTTGTGAAAAATAGCTGAGCATGATACCCTCGCGATTTTTACATATTCTATCATATTTCAATATAGAAAGCAAAAAGTGTTTAGTGATAGCGCTAGACAATATTGATATCGATATCAAAAGCAGCAGTTCTACAAAAATATAATGTCACGGCTGCATTTGGGATCAGCTTTAGAACTATAACACTGCCATTCAGAGTAATTTTCAACTCCGGAATTCTTTTGAGTAATACTACGATAGGATTCGAAATAATCAGCATTGCTATTTCGTATTACTTAAACTAGAGCATGTCAGATACGTGCGACAAGAAATACAATCATCAGGATAATTACTAACAAAATTACATAAATCTGAATCAACATCTCCACATGACGTACAATTTCGTTTTGAATATCGATATAAGCTAGATTATTTACTCTTAATTCTTTAGAAAAAAATTGATGCCTGAAAAGCTTCAGGACGAAATAAAAATATTTCGAGTTGCGTATGTTTTTTCGAAAAGTTCTTGCTCCTCCTTTTCGTATTCGTGAGCTGCCTATACTCAATATAGCGATATTTTTATTGAAAACCGCAATATGATATGTTGTGGTTTGCGGTTGTAATGTTCGCTTTGCTTTGACGTAAATGTAAATGATTTATTTTCATAATATATGTTTTCAAGTAAGTATAGCTGACTAAAATTTATATTTATTTTTAAACATAAATTGTTCTTAACATTCAATGCTATGCGTATGATAATAAAAATATTGAATTAAGAACATGAAAAATACTGAGTGAATAACAACAACGAAAACGAAAAGTAAAAGCGCCCGTCAGAAAAGTATGCAAGGGGTTTTGATTTTATGCTTTCTCTATTTCGTATAAGTCTAATGGTGCTGAAGAGCAAATGTTTGTTCTAAAATTCAGCCTCAAGGTCGTTGCACTAACAAGTTTTTGTTTTTTTAAATTCACTTATTCATGTTTACAACGGAATAAAAACTGCAAGGATTAGTCGTATATATGATAGAAGGAGACTTGTACTATTTTAAATAATAAAAAAGAATTTATAACCAATGACTGTTCTGATTTCAAATCCTTTTCTTTAAATTCTTCATGGAATAATATTCGTTTATCTGATTTAGTGAAGAGCTCTTGTTCTTCTTCTTTTACTTGAAATATTCTCATGCTCATATTTTAATGTTCATTTACTGTTTACAAGAACTACATAATAACGATTTATATGCATTTTTTTGTTTCCTTAATACTTTTAATTTTTTTATCAACAAACGAAAAATAAGATGAGCAAATATACTTTTGATGTCATAAATTAAGTGTTTGATATTTGTATATATGCATAATGTCCTTCATTCTTATTTCAACATTTGATATTTATATCATGGATGTATGAATTAATGATGGTTATAGTTTTTTTAAATTTTATTTTAAGAATTTATTTCTACTTTGTTGATTTCGAAAAATGACAACCAACGATGCCGTTGAAGAAATATTTGATGAAGTTGATACAAATCGGGATGGACGGTATGAATTAAGAATTGAAATCAAATCATAAATACATATATACATATTTAGTATCGATAAAGATGAGCTTCGTAACTGGGCTTCAAAGCCAGAAGAAGTAACTACCTTCTCACATGAATCGTCAACTTGTGATACTAGTCGCGATTATAATACTACCGGTTGGGATGACCGGTATAGATCTAAAGTTGGCAGTCAAAATACTTTGGAATTCACGACTGATAAAGTGAATTCATATGACACTACAATAACATCTAGAAATTTCATTAGTGAAAAGGTGATTCGTACTAGTAGTGCAGATGAAACGAATCGATATCTAGCTACATCAGTTGATCATATTTACAAGGATCTTAATCCAAAAATTATTCGACGAGCAGCAACTGATCGCCCAGTAACATATGAACAACGAGTTCTTGTTCGATATCTTCAACCACCACCTCTTCCACCGCCAGAAGTAATAAAATAATTGTTTGCAAAAAATTGAATTTTTTCTAATCTTTGTATGATTTTAGCCACTTATTATTAAAGAGGTGCGTCAAGAACAGCCACCACCACCTCCACCACTGGTTATACATGAACAGTCAACACATGTTACTCAAGCAGCTCCACTTATCTTACGCGAGCGGCCACCAATACCACCCTCACGTTGTGCTAGTGAAACCAGTAAAAGAAAAGAAATTTAGATTACATATATGTACTTCGTCAATGTATTTTATTTTATAGAGATTCGTTATCTACCTGCTTTACCTGCTCCACCAAGATCCGTTGTCATCGAACGTTATCCAGCTCCTCCGGCAAAACCACGTAAAAACGAATAATCTCCATTATTCTTTTTGTCAACTTAGACTGTTGTTGTTTTTGACTTTTTAGGCGATATTATCATTGAACGCTGGCTTCCCTACGGACCTCAATCTGAACGCCAAACAATTGTTCAACGCGCTCCTGCTCCTACAGAATATCCAAAACCATCTTATACTATTGTTACTTATGATAATGTTCAAATACGTATAGTTCGAAAATTAGAAAAACTTGGTGTTACTCAAGAAAATCCTGAAGCTTATGTAGCTCGTTATGGAAATTCACTGTTAGACTCAGCAACACTTGTTCACGAGGCTCGTAATGCAGGCGTTGTTGAAGATATAGTAAATTTTATTCAAAAACAGAACTTCAAAAAAACACTATAACTTTTTTTATTGTAGTCAACTCCATTATCATCATCTTCAATAATTTCACATAGACGTGGAAATACTGTTGATTTTGACCATTCCAATGAAATAACCAATCAAGATTTTTCATCGTCAGTTGGAACTACTTATGAAGGAAATCATCGAGTTACTGGCGGAGAAACTATTGCTCTTGGTAGTAGAACTTATTCATCGTCGTCAGGATCGCACTTGGCTGGTCATCATACTTCAAGTGGCAATATTACTGAAATCCAAGGTGGATATCGTGTCGGTGATGCAGCTTACCGCTACTAATACGAAGCGTAATGCACAATTGAATCAAACAACATGCCACCAATATATTTAAAAATTTATTGACCTAAACTTTTTTCTTTTTTCTATTTAACGACATTGCTTCTGTGTAGTTTTTACAAGGGGACATATTAGCTAGATAATAAAAGACATAAAAATAGAAATAAAATTTAGCTTTTATCAAACGCAACTGATACTACTATTAGCTGAATCAAAGTTTCTTGCATAATATGTTGATATTATTTTTAAGTGAACTGTTTGCATTGTAATTAACATACCGTACGTTGGAATAATATTATACTTTATAATATGCGCTGTGAATATTTTAACAATATAATCTTTTTCTTTTTGTTTTTTGGCACGTCATTTGATGATTTTCATGTGACTGTGGATGGTGGGTGTGAGAATGTTGGTATGAGTGAAGATAAAACTTCCACACTCTCATATCCTCATTTAACTCTATATAACTCCTCAATTTCCTGAGTGTGTAGGAGTAAATTTCATCCTCATTTACAGAAGGTGAACCTCGTTTTTTCTATACACAGTTCATTTTTAAATATTCAGCTGATTACTTTTAGTTTGGCAAGGAACTCTCACAGGCACATGCCAACACACTAAAATATTGAACGTCGCACTACTCATTGAATGGATAAATCTTTTTTTTTTTATATGATTTAGTGTGTGAAATGAACTTTTATGCATCAGCACATATAGTAATGTACAATTTCAAAAATTCGTTATAAAATATATCTGTTTATCTTCATCAATTTAACCAATTTATCGATAGAAAAAATGAGTTTCTTTATGTTACACAAAAACTGACTTGCACAACTTACTATGAAACAAATACTAGTGGCCAAAAATGCAGCTACAGTCGATAACATGGCTAATGATCATAGTTTTCGAAAACAGGAACAAACAAATACACGAACAATGAAATAAAAAGCTTTGAAATGACAAATACATGAGATTCACGATAGCTTCTTCAAGAATATAAATAAGTGGAAATATCAAGCCAGTTGTGGGTCATCGAAATTATCCATAGATGGTGTGTGAATTTGCACGTAAATTTTCATATTTATCATTACTAAATAATCTACTATCAAACAAAATTGCAGAATGAAAATCGAATGAGCATTATCAAAATACTAGAATATTTTGTTTTTAAATAACTATAGAGAATATTAAGAAATATATGATTATTTATTTGTCATTTAATCTTTATACTCAGTTTCCTTTTCAGATTCAAATCACATAACTGCCGCTTGGCTCCATTGACCATGCATATGTTAATAAATATAGACAACAACAAGCGATGGAAAAGAATTAAATAAAAATCAACCTATTCAACTAAATCAGTACTCGCTACAAAAACAATAACAAATCAAATCAATCTTCAATATAAGCAGGAAGATAAAACATTACTCCTGACTAAATAATCTTTATTAAAAATGAAATATTATTCTTCAGATACAGGATTACATATAGATTCAACTGTATTTGTTTCTGATTATTCAATGACATCTAATAAGATTTCAAGAAATAGTCGACGGAGATTATTGATAAAAGATGCCAAAATTATTTTCAAGAACAAATCAAAGAGAACAAACACGAGCTGAATGAACATATTTACGCTTGTGATGCAATCAGGAGGAGAACAAGATAAGGTTTAGAGCCCTATCACGTTTATTTTGAAGTAACTTAGCCTTTCAATAAAAATATATGGAATTCGATTAGGACACTTATGAATCTTTAGGTATTGACAATGTCTGCCTAATTTTAGATTGAAAATAGTATAGTTCCATCCCTCTTTCGAAACAACAGTGACAAGTACAACGATTCCTGATCGACGAAGTGATTTTTTTTGCTTTCTTTCGAACGTGATATTAATATAAATTCTCAGATATTCATAATATAATTGGATTATGTTGATATAAACAATTATTCGTTTTTGGTGTAGATAATATTTTGTTCATATGTCTAAGTGAACTGATCGCTCATCAAAACTCAGTGTATAAACATAGCTTTTTTAATTGATTCTGATGCTATGGTTGCAAGTTTATTGATATGAATTTTTACAGAAAAATTGTTCAACACCTGAAAGTAATAGATAGGACACGGCCGGGTTCAAGATTTCTAGATCCAGGTCTAGTATAAAAAATATTTCGATTCAGATAGTGTTGAACCGTACGTTTATACCGTTAGTAAAATATTCTAATCAGCATCAAAGAGTCAATTCGATGATGAAGAACACTTCTTCGATTTCATCCTGGATGATGAGCGTATTAACATATTTTCAAAGCCACCTTCACTGTTACAGTCAGTTAAACTCAAGATATCTGAACTCGGAATTCGATCATAACCCGATAAACTGCAGTAACGAGGAATATTTTTCAGTCCAAGCCCCATCAACCAATAAATTTCTGGTTACACTGTTACTTTACATCCGCGCCCCCAATTTCAAAAATTTGTCAATCATAAGGATTTTGTCAGTATAGTATTAGTGAGAATAGCTAACGAGAAATCAACAGCCTAGTTTCTATTTCCATTAACAGTATTGAAAATAGTCCTAGTTAGCATGTGTTGTATACCTTTGCTCTTGTTATATAAGCCTTGGAAGAAAATATCGGCAAAACGTAGAATGCAATTTTTCTGCGCCTTACCAGTGATTTCTGTTGCATTCTGTAGGACTTCAGTACTGATTTTTTTTCTTTAAAAAATGCCAACAATTTCAGTCGTAATGCGACGAAAACGCTCTTGAATTGGCACCCAAGGGCTTCACTATGTAATGAATACGATTCTCAACGAAAGTGTTTTCGAAAAAACCTCGAATGATATGCAGAATTCTCAGATATGCTCCTATAATCTCTGCAAGAAAATTCTTGAGCAATTTTTACCGCAACCTAGTTGGTTTTGCGGTTTTATTATCAATCTTTGTATTGGCTGTTTTTTTTGGGTGTGGGGAGGAACGTGTGAATTAAAACGATAGTGATTAATGCTATAATTGACTTAATGAAAAATATAAAGATCGGTCGTACTCTAGTATTTTGTCTGCATTGATAACAGAGTAACCGCCTCTTAGAATGATGCTCTACGACCATAAAAAAACCAACAAAAAACGAAGCATGTAAATATGCACATTCACCTGGTTGTGATATTTGCATTGAGAAAAGCATCGACAAGAGACCCAATAACTGACGATTTATTGACTATATAAATACGAAGATCGATTAGACGATATTCACTTTCATTCATCAAGGCCAAAGTATAGTGTACTCTCGAGCTCGTATTCACCAGTGATGAATAAGCACACAAAAAACATGAAAGACGTAAATATTTGCATTCGCCTCTTTGTGGCATTGGACGAATGCATAACAAAATCAGAGCAAAAGAAAAGTTGTATTAGAATTCTGCTCTATGTTTTTTGATAATGATGAAGCCTAAAGCCTTGCAGAAAGAATAGATCGTTTTAGAGAATGATTGAAGCGACGAGCAAGGTCCATAACTATTTTCAATATTTTCATACTGGCAATTTCAATGTGAGATATTGGAAATAGAAATAATTTAGAAGCGAAAGAATAGAAAAACAAGCAATAAAGTTCGAACTAAGCGTATTATTTCATATTATTTGCAGATAGACTAACATTCATACAATTTTGAAATAAAACATGGGTCTGCTATTATTGTTGATGAACATCGTAGGATGTTTATATTCCTTTCCTGGTTGTGCATATTAAAATGAACTATAGTATCTTACGACAGAAACTTCTGCCACTTTAGAAATGTTACAGTATTATTAGAAGCTGTTTAACATTTATATGGACAAAATAAACAATTTCTTCAAATACAATTTTCTTTTTATTGTATCATAATTTGTTTTCAATATAAAAAAATGATAGCTACCATAATTATTTCAAGAATCATTATAGTCACGATGTAAGTAGTAAATGAAGGCACTTCGACCGCAATGTATTTATTGAAATTTAATTCTATCTGGTTGAAGTTGTTCATGAGAACATCGTGTTCTACGCAAATCTAATGAAACTATCTCTTCCAACTGATATTATTCATTTTTCTTGCCATCATATACATAGCAAACAGGAGTAATAGTTTTTGAAAATATTTAATCAAGATACGTTTTATCAGAAATAGAAGCCGATAGCATGCCACTTTCTACGAGGTAGGTGTGTTTGTTGGTATCAATATCTGTGAGAAGAAAAAGCCCAGCTACAATCACACCACGTTTTGCACAATACAGAGCGGCATGTGTTAGATTGATTTACCCGAGATTCACATTTACTTCTTCGACCATTTTCCATTTGTTGAACTATAATGTTATTATAAATGATGCATAACATAAAATGTAAAATTTCCTTTCATCTTCATAATCAGATATTCTTTCAATATCAAGTGCTGTTGCTAGTATTGAAGCACATTTCTTGTCATTGACTACAGATTTCTTATCTTTAAGTGGCCATTGCTTCTACATATTATTTTGTTTGGCGCAAAATCGAACAGTGTAGGAGCTTGCGATAAAGTTTTAGTGAACAATATGCATTTGCAGCCCAATTTTCAGTTAGACACATACTAAAGTTTTTAGTGCTAAAGCAAGCTTTAATAATCAGTAATGAGTCAGTCTCTTGGGGGATTTTTTTGAAACATTCTCTAATCTCATTCCATCTATATTGATTAGGCATGAATTCTAAAAATGTTTCTTCTATCGTACATATTTGACAAACTATACTCGAGATAGTTCTTAATTTTTTGCAAAGTCCTCTTGCAGGTTTTCAGTTGTTTTTAGGGATGCACCAATTCCAATTCGAGTCTAATCAATTCTTAGAATTGGTCGGAATTGGTTGGAATTGGTTGGAATTGGAATTACTCTGGAATTGGTTTAGAATTGGTCTGAAACCGGTATAGAATTGGCTCTAAATGAGTGTAGAATTAACTGAAATTGATGGTACAATTGATTAGTCTTGACTAGCAAGTGCTTTAATTTTCCAAAAATAAAATAAAGAAAATGGGACGTATGAGGCCTTAAATCTGAAAATTGAGATTTTTATCATAAAAGCTACCACTTGAGCTACAATGAATAACATATTTGGAATCAGTGCAAAAAACTGACTCGAACAATTTATATTTTAACTACTTTCGGCAACTCTTTTTTTCTACCGAAAATTCACCTGAGGTACCCCTCAGGGTTCAGTCCAATAATACAAAATTACTTTTTTTTCAGTCCTCAGGCATGCGATTTTTTCTATATTACTAAGCATTTTACATGCTCCATAGTTAATCACTGTTGTCCAAGTTGCTTTCTGATTAGTTTCTTTTTTTGACTGAACCCTGAGGGGTACCTCAGGTGAATTTTCGGTAGAAAAAAAAGAGTTGCCGANCTCATACGTCCCATTTTCTTTATTTTATTTTTGGAAAATTAAAGCACTTGCTAGTCAAGACTAATCAATTGTACCATCAATTTCAGTTAATTCTACACTCATTTAGAGCCAATTCTATACCGGCTTCAGACCAATTCTAAACCAATTCCAGAGTAATTCCAATTCCAACTAATTCCGACCAATTCTAAACCAATTCCAATTCCAGACCAATTCCGATTCCAATTCCAATTCCGACCAATTCCAATTCCAATTCCAACCAATTCCAGACCAATTCCGATTCCAATTCCAGACCAATTCCGATTCCAATTCCAACCAATTCCAACCAATTCCGACCAATTCCAATTCCAATTCCAATCAATGCCGACCAATTCCAAGCCAAGAATTGGAATTGAATTGGTTGGACTTGGAATTCGTGCATCCCTAGTTGTTCTTATAGGGCGTATTTAGCGTAAAATATTTCAAACTCCATACGATACGTTGCGATTACTACTTAGACAATTATTATCGCGTAAATTCAATATCAAATTGTAGGCGATAAAAATGGCGGAAGCCATATATGTAGTTTTAGATAAACTTTCATAAGAGTTGTTCTAATCTGTTTGTGTACAAGTTTCTGTCACTGTTTCTAATTAGGTTGAGTGATTCTGACAGAAGGAATTTCAGATTCATGAACAAAGAATCAGAGACAGTAAACGAATACTTCTCAATTTTTCATGTTTTCTTTCTATTATATATGTAGGTATCAAAAGAGTCACCGTGCCACATACATGATAGCCATTATTACACCCACACCCTCTTATCTGAATCAATAGTACTAATACCAGCTACGTGATAACATTCTGATAAAATCGAAATTCAACATTGTGTCTTGGTGTGTTAGTGCAGGCTCCGACCATACACACACTTTGCTTTCATCATTGCTAGAATACATATAATAGTCAATATATTTCCATTGTGGAAAGATGTAACTACTTTTAAAGTCATAAAAATATCGTTAAATATTTAAAATAAAATTTATGAAATCATGACATATAACACAGTTGAGCCGCGTATCTTTGATCCATCGAAAATAACGATAGATCCACATACATCGGTTACATCGAACACATATAAATCAAGTGGATGCTCGATGAATTCTCGACTTTTGGATAGTTTCAATGCTAGATCATAGCATTCAGCACTTCCGTTATATCGTCCTGTGTGTAAAGCCATGTTGCTAATATTCAAACAAGAACGTGGGCGACGATTGGGATCATTTTGAGATGATCCATGATAGATTCAACGAAAAAGAATCGATTTTCCGTGTCATATCACTACAATTTGAATAGAACGATATTCATTGAGTAATGTCTCAAAAAGTGATTTTAAATCGTTATCTTCTTCGCTGCGTAGTTCTAGCTTGACTGCTGAAAATGAGTCTCCAATGATCACATCTGTAAACGAGAAAATAATGTCGGCCATAAAAAGCACTTCTTCCTCTTCTGGATATTGACTAAATCTTGTTATATTAGACAAGGGTTGTACACCGTCTGTAAGTTTTGGATCAGTAGTAATTTCGAGTAATACTCTCATTTCATCATCAGAATTATATCCATCGAGATGAATGTTGGCAACGCTTCGTTAAAGACTAGCCGAAAGAAAGGAACTTATTGAAATGTAATGATCTTTTACGTCGGACAAATTTTTCTATTCATCTTTTGAAAGTCGTTGGCCACAATAATTAAACATGAATGGGTGCCTGTTTTTGATAGAGCATGAGCTGATTTTTCATATCTTTTTGAATGAATCGGAAGAGCTTTATTCAGCAAACGATAGACAAACACATCTTTTGTATACCATTCAAAGAATTTCTCTGGTTTGTAGTCTAGATGAAAATTTTCCAATTTTTTCAATTCTGTCAAATCATTAGCAAACTCCTCGGTACATCGAGCGATCAATTCATCTTTATCGTTAAGTTTTGACTGCATTCGAAGGAGAATATCAAAAAGCAATTGAGTAAGCAGGAAAATGGAGAAGAATTCTGTGGTACTACGCAGAAAACGAGCTTCAAATAAAAGAATTCTATTGGATACTTCATCTAAAATTATAGATTTGACCTAAATTAATGATAAATTAATATTGGTTTAACAGGGCAGAGACAATGGGTAGTTCTAATAATATTATCTGCATTTTCACATTCAACTACAAGTATTGCTTTGGAACATGTTGGCAAATTGTAAAGATTATGATTACATTCAAAGGCATCTTCGAAAAGTTGTATACTGTATTCTTTCAAAGCCAGGGTTTGTTTGGAATGATGTGGGTCTTGAACTAGAACAAGCCGTGATTTCTTATTCAACCATGCAATATCAAAATATTCGGTGGTATCATGTTGTTCGATTTCCTGCTGATTCAGGATGTGGACGTGTTATAGATGTTAAAATAGTCGATACTTCGATATTTTTATAATAATCTCATCAAGTGGCATTGGAGATGCTAATAAATTAGATACAAAAGTAAATTCTGAACCAAATACTACACACTATAATCTTGGGTGTATATACCAGTGTGAATCTGGTTGTAACTGTAGATTTTTGATCTGTTGGCACGTAAACGTACACCATATCCACTCACGCCCACATCCTATTTGACTTATCATTTATTGGCAATAAGATAATTTATCAATGGTTGGTTAATAGAACTGGAGTGATGGGTTTTATAACTTGGTTTGGAATATCATTAACTCATTGGAGATTTCATCCGACATTTATTTTACAAGGCTATTCATTAAATAATCTTGTTTATAAAGCATTATTTTTTCCAGTGGGACCAATGCTAGCATCTCTTTATTTATAATTATACTTGTTTTAGGACAAGACTATTCAACATTCACAACACATCCATTTAATTTTAGTAATTTCTGAGCAGCTTATATCACAATACCTGTGTTTTTAGTTATCTTTCTTGTTTATAAATTTGTTAAAAAGACTCGTTTTATACCTTTGAGCCAGATCGATCTTGTAACTAAGAGCATTTTGCTTCATCAAATGGAACCAGCATCTACTATTTAGTGTTTTCTTTCGAGCAAAATGATTATACGAATAAAGTACAGAATTTATTTTCAATAAAAATAACTTTTTATGAGAGGTACTAAATCATCAAGATTCATTAATAGAGAGAAATTTCAATTCCAGAGAAAAAACACGAAAAACATTTTAGGAACTTTCTGTCCTACTTATAAAACAAAGCTATACTTCTATCAAACTCTCAACAAATATACACGAGATTGGTAGTAATCAGTTCGATGAGTTTCAGCTTGATGAATTAAGGTTTCTCAATTATGCCACTGCTAACCAGTCAGAATCTGCAGAAGCCACTTCGAAGTAAAATTTAGAGATTGTTAACATTCAAATGTGAAATGAAATTTTTATATTTTTAAAGTCAATTTCGATACTATTCTGTATACTGAAATTTGCGTCCTAACTAAAACCATCGGAATGTCTTCAATGGGAAAAAAACACAGCGTTCAAAGACTGTCGCTCTTCAATAAGTTATATGAATGGCAATCGCAGTCAAATATAAAAAGTTTGAAAAGAAGAACGAGGTTCGTTGCTGTTAATTATATAGATGATAACTAGTATGCGACATTAATGATAAATTATTATAATGTTTATAAAAGGATATTTTTCATTCTTCTTTGTACTATCCTCAGAGCTTTCTAGATGTATTGTGCTAAGGTTGTGTTGAAACTTTTGTCGACAATATGTGAAAAGCTGATCTTATTATCCTTAGTATTCTCCATATCTCATTTATCAATTTCATATCCTAACGAGAGGTTGTAGGTCAGTAAAGAGAACAACTGCATTCACACACCCTCAGAATCCACATTTTGAATTCGGATATTGCTCACAAGTGTGGAATGTGTAAAATAGAAAAATATTAAGGCACCCGATCAGATCCGATAATCTGGATCAAAACCCATCGTTGTAGTCTCTACATCCGCACCTCAAATATCTATGTGCATAAAATACGAAAAAATGCAAAAACTTATTTTTCCAAACAATTGGTTTATTTTAGAAAATCATCAAACACTTGTCTTTCTAACCCATATAAAACAGATCGATCAGGGATTATGTAAAATAGCCCAGTCACACCTCTCAAAGATGACCTCTATAGGAAGTCATTTCTTGCTAGACAACCTAAACTGAAAAGTCATGAAGGTTAAAATCAGCAAAAATATCGCTTTTTGTATATCTTGGATGATTCATAAAAGTCCTACAGCTCAATATTTTGAGAGAAAAATTTCATGGTCAGTAAAATTTCACCTCAATTGGCAGAGAAAGTTTTAACGTGTAGCTACATCCGGAGCCTTCAGATGAAAGTAATTAGTCATTTTTGAGACTTCTTGTAAAATACTCGTAGAGAATTGAGAGTTCAGTATGCTTCAAAACGGCTTCCTAGAAAATTGTGAAAATTTTTTTCTCTTCAAAATATTCCAAATTGCAGCAATGTAGAATGATTTCTTTTTCTCCGTAAAGTACAAATAATGCGTGACAAAAACTAAACCAAAATAAGAAAAGTGAATTGTATAAACAAAACGTTTTGACTGTGTATTATATTAGGCAGGCCATTAGTTTTAGATAAGTCTGAAAAATTTTGATGAATCATACATTATTTTACTGCGTTATTGCATTTATAGCAAGTAACAAAGAGTACATGAAGATAGTGAATTTTTCATTTTTTTATTGAAAAAAAAGTATTAATTACTATTTTTCTTTATTTTTTATGCAGACTTAAAAAAACAATTTCGAACGGCAATGTACATGTATATTTACAACTTCACATGTATTGCCAGAAAATTAAGTGTTTCTCAACAGTACAGGTCTACTCTATCAGATTGATTACTACAATACTCACAAAACAGTTATTTCTAACACTAGGATTCAATTGAATTTTCAGGCTTCGAGACAGTCATGGCGTCAGTCGTTTCGAGGGTGCTATAATCACCCACACTAACACTAAGAAAAATATTTTGTTCAGATATGCTCTTTCAGAAGTAGATGTATTCTTGTAGGAACACAATTAACCATACGCTTGGAGTTGGAGAGATTTGATAATTAACTCGATTATTCGGTTTAATCATTAAAGAAAGCACGTTCTCAATATTGGTACACTCAAAGTGACTGTTCCTGGGTCGAATTACCGATATCTACACTGAACAGATGGTCAATAGCAGCGATCAATAACGTATCCATTGACGCAAAAGAAGTCATTGTTTCGTACATAGAAAAACATGATAGGCAAAATATACATTGTGTACGAGCAGAACATAATTGTGTTTCAAAGCGAGAAACAAAAACAACAGAAATAATTGAATTTTTGTCTTGTCTGAAACAAGGATATCATGGAAATGCGATGACTTGTTGATGAAATCACATTAATAAGGATTCATTGGTGAAAAATAAATATGCAAATAAGATTTCTTGGCGAGAGTAAATTAAATAAACCGAAATTCAATCATATATATTCATCACTTTCCATCATTCCTCATCATCATAAGCGAAAATAGTACGGACGGTATGAATACTTGTCGGATTATTCATGTCTCAAGGAGATCACGATCTTCGAAAGTAGCCATTAGTACTTTTCAAATTTTATCTGATCGCGTATACCTTTTTCTTTCTCAGGTAAAACCAACTCCTACAAAAGAACAAATTTCCACTATTGATACCCAACCACCAGCCGAAACTAGAGTAATGTCAGCACAATCCACTCAGTTTCAATCAGTATCATCGAAAAATATAGAGATGCGAAATGATGCAAATCTATCGAAATCAGCATTACTTTCACCAAATGATGCAAATCTATCGAAATCAGCATTGCTCTCACCAATCGATTCTAATCATTTCAAAAATCGTCATATAACTATGCCGAGTAAGTTGTAGCATTTATTTAGTCGATTTTTTGTCTTCTATCATACATGTATCGGTATTTATTATCGGAATGCTACTGTTTCTAGAGTACCAGAAGCCTCATCTAAAGAAGATAAAAAAAAATGTTCAAACACATTGATGATTGCTTTTGCCATCGGTATAATCATTGCAGTGATAGCCTTGGTAGCGTTGTCCATGAGTATTTACTCGATTGTTCGTATGTCGCAAACAACAATAACTAGCTCAACGACAGGTGAGCATTATTGATATTCAGTATCAGCATAAATGCATTAGAACGAATTTTCTCTGACCTATGAAAATGATGTGTGATGCAAGATCAGATTTCGATGCAGTATTTTAATGATTTTCGAAAAGAAAACCGCTATGAATCATGTTTAATTGTCCTTAACTAGTATCAAGTTGCTTTTTTTGCATGTGGAATTTTTAAACAAAATATGTACGGTAGTTGTATAGAACTTTGGGAAATTGAGAAACAATGTATTGAAATATTTAGCACGACTCCAATCTATCCAAGGGTGCTCGTTTGATGCTAAAGATTACAGATAGGGTGATATCAATGTTAGATAGATACAACGACAATAATCGGTTGGGGACAGGTTTTTTTCTGTCATTTCAATACACTTTTTATGAAATACAATCTAAACAGATTGCTGAAGTATATATGGTAGAAGTGTGACCCTCCCAGACTGTAAAATATGTTTTAGTTCACTATTTAATCAATATCTAACTAATCAAGTTTCCACTATAGACTGCGACAGGCAGGCTCCATATATGATCACACATTGTGATAGATGTATTCAAACGACTATCGAGCATAATGTATAAGTATAGCATCTAATTGGAATATATATGATGTATTTCCAAGTTGATGAAGTTCTAGACTGTACAGTAAACCATGATATAGAAATACAACCCAACATATATTTTTAAAAAAATATCTGTTTTTAGGCAATTAGCAGTATTAGTCAGACCATGTTTCATATTTCTAATCCAGAAAGGATTGCACTAGCAGTTTTTTTTAAACCAGCTGGAACAATACAATAAGACACTAGAGCGATTTTGATCACCGTTGATCATCGAATGAGTTTAGTACGACTATATCATTTTCTCTAGCAAAGTATCATCAACTATATATACAAAATACAGATATCTCTTTCATCTTAGAAAATGCTTAAGAAGGTTTATTAAAGTTATAAAGTGAATACTCCGGTTCTTTTTTTTGTAGCTGCCACATATATACTGAGTTGGAGTGCAACTGGAACCACTGTTGCCGGTACCGGAATTTCAGGGTCACCGGAAACTAATCGGCTTTGGAATCCCTGGACTATTGTATTAGATTCAACCAATGCTCTTTACATCGCCGATGCCAATAATAATCGAATTCAGAAATGGGTTATCGGCTACTCAATGGGAACAACGGTGGCTGGAGAGTCAAATGGAGTAGCAGGTGCTACGCCTTATTATTTGAACCAGCCCTATGGTGTTTATGTTGACACGAATTTCAATATCTATGTGGCTGATTCGGCGAATGGACGAGTTCAATTTTTTTCTAGTGGTGCATTGTCGGGAACAACCATCGCTGGAATCGGTGAGAGAAAAAGAGCAGCAAAAGAGATTTTTCGTCAATAAAATATTTGTATGAGTAGAGATAGTGTTTAATGGAAAGTCTTTCCACTGTTTCAAAAGTGTAGGGATAAACAATGACAGTATCAGTGAAGCGACAGTCGCTAAAATATCAATTTGTGTTATTAGCCAAAGTTGTATGAGCTCCAGATAGTTTTTCACCAATGATTAGCACAACTGAGAACCATCAGAATTATTGAAAAATCAATGGGAATCATTCAGAATCACAAAGAAAATTCCAGTAATAAGATTGAAAGTAAAGCCCTGCTTTCTATTGAATTTTAATGATTTTTATTGATTTCTTGAATTGGCCTGTATATATCATAGTCGAGTCTGATGGAATCCATTTTAAACTAATAGTGAGTGCCATGGTGAATCCGATAGCTTTCTGCTTTGACGCTCTTGCAGATAGCAGTACTATTTTCTTCGTTAACTGCTTATCTCAATAAGCTCACGATCTATGAGTACAACGCTTTTTTCGCTTAATAGGTCATCACTCATTAATAATCGATCTTCACAGAAATTGATCTCAACTGTTTGAGTTTCTTTTCATTTCATGCCCACCAGATCAACAATCATCTCACATATCGATCGAATCCGCTCTGGTTACAGAAATTCAAAGACGAGATTGTTCTTCAAAAGAAGAATAGGCGAAACAGGTTTTTTTCAAATGTGTATATTTGTTCAGAACTCTTCGTATGAGTGGGGACATCTTCTAGAAAAGTACGTTGAAATAAGTATCATTAAAAAAACACACTACTAAGCATAACCCTTTCGCCTCGTTTTTTTGTGTGAGCGTCACATTTATTGATGTTTGCGTCGCACTGTGGACAGAACGAGTAAACCTGGAATTCTGCCTTTGGATGATGTCACACATACAGACATAGATATGCAACAAGCTACATAGGTATCAAAAGAAAGAAAGTACAACCCAAAAACAGAATTTTCAGACATTGTCCTGATTTTTTACGAGGCTTACGTCTAAGTTCTTTTTAGGTGGTAATGGTTCTGCATTAAATCAACTGAATAATAATTGCGGCCTTGCACTTAATGAGAACTCGAGCACACTTTACATAGCGGACACTAACAATCATCGCATAATGAGTTATGCATCAGGTGCAGCAACAGGCACAGTTGCCGCTGGTGGGAATGGAGCAGGAACACTGATCAATCAACTATATGGTCCTATGGCAGTTCACTTCGATTCAACAACCAACAGCTTAGTGATTGCTAACACGGGTGTCCACACTATTGTTCGCTGGGCCATAGGTGCTACTGTATGGACACTTGTTGCTGGATATCCGGGTTTTTCTGGCAGCTTATCAACAATGCTCAACAGCCCTGCATGCGTGATCTTTGATTCGCTGGGCAATATGTATGTAGCCGACACAGGCAATTATCGCATACAGTTTTTTTCTGCTGGTCAACGAAATGGAACAACCATTGCAGGTGTAACAGGAGTACAAGGTAACGCAGCTAACTTACTCAATAATCCACGTTCAATAGCACTTGACAATCAACTCAATCTTTATGTCGCAGACACAAGTAATAATCGGATACAAATGTTTAGTCAACTATAAACCGTCAACTGATTCCTTACGTTTGAACATTACCATTCTTCATTTTTCCTTGTCTTTTGTTGTTGAATCTAATTTTTCTGCTTTCACTTCATAGTGACTCCCACTCAGCATATTGCAATCGTACGAACACTCAAGCAATTATATCCTTGATTTGATGGTCATATTTCTGCAACAGTGAATGGCGTCTAAATAATAACTCAAGGGGGTGTGCGTGTGGGTGTGGGTACGATTTGATCTTATTGTGAATGTAATTGATGCAGTAACGATTCCGAACGACACCGACGCGGAATACCCGGAAACATTTTCATTCTATTTTCTTTATGTAGCTGTCATGACACTGTATGTCGTTTTATTCAAGAAATTCAGTCGTCAATTTTGTTGCATGTCGCCGTGAGAGAAATCTGAATTGGTTGGCCCAATAATTTTCATAGTTTCCTGAGATTTTATCGACGGAGAAAAGGGAAGTATAAACCATTATCTTGTTTTGAATTTGTTATTCTAACTATTGCTTGTCATTTTTCTGGGAAAAATTTTAAAAGAGGCGCTTACTGTTTTTATTTTTCTCATTTCTCATTTTATTATTCTGAAAACAACGACACATTTTATAACAAAAAAAAAAGAATTGATTGACTTAGCTTCGTGCCCTTCTCTTCTGATAGTCACGGTCTTATTTTGCGTTTTTTTCTGAGAGAAACTGAATAGTAGTTTTGCTTCGTTGTCAATTGTAGATTTCGTTTATATTATAATATCATACGCAATGGAACTGCTTGAAAAAATACGATTGGTCACCCGCGATGTTTTTCTAACTGATACCCGTTTTGAACATACAAACTGCATTAGTACCAACAGAGACGCACGGGTATTTTTACAACATATTCTTGCTCGTGCTAGGCATCCCGAATTCAATCTGCATATTAGTATAAGTCAAATCAGTAGGCTGATTGGTTCGCGGCGAAGGCGTGATTTTGTCGAATGGTTTTACCTCCATGCTCCGAGACACCGGGAATTTCGTCGCGTTCAGTGGTTTCTCAATGAAATGATCCGAGTGAATGCAGTAGAGCACCTAAGAGAAGTCAAACATATGACGTCGGATGCTGAGTATCAACAATTCACAATCAATGCTGACTCACCTAAAATGCCAACTGTCGAACAAATGAATTATTGGCGTTGTCATACTGCCGAGATTCAGGAAAACATGAGAAGCGAAGGCCCTCGAATCGAACGGCTTGAATCGGCAACAGAAACACTCGAAAATATACAAAATGCTATTTTTGAACTAAATAGCGATGGAACATTCGATCCGTCATCGTCATTGGAAGACTCCGACTCAGGTAGTGACATTGGAAAAAGTCCCATTGAAGAAAAATGCGCACAATATGAGATGTTTGAATCGGAACTATACGGTGCTATCCTAGGCAAGTTTTTTAAAGATTTTTATCATGACTAAATCAAGTTTCTTTTTAGGTAGCTCTGAAAGCATGATACAAGACTCTAACAAGTGCTCCACTCTCAATGAATCAGACGTCGATCAGTCATAGAACACATAGATATTTTCAACCGCTCCTCAAGAAATTTAGATAGGATCATTGATTTTCGGTAGTAATGTCAGTTTTTCCGTTACAGAACTAATATTTAGTTTACGTATGAATGTGTATAGTTTGCCGGAAATCTCTATCCTCTTTTCACCGTGTTACGGACGTCGTCATTGACTAAATCTTTTTTTCGAGAACCAAATTTTCAGTTCTTATTCAAAAATCTAAAGAAACATAAAATAACTTCAAAAAATTTAAAAAACCGCAAAAAAACAAAATTGTTTAAAACTGAAAAAATTTAAAAAGCACTAAAATGTTCCATAAAAAAGAACAAATGAGCCACAAAGTAATAAAAAAATTAAAAGAAATCTTTTCTAAAATACTAAAAATATGTCATCGAAAAAATAAACATTTGCAGTCAATTAAAATGTTAAATTTCTGTTAGAGGATTATTAATTTTCTTGAATTTCAGCTGTCTCATGCGACATATGTTTATTGATATATATAAGAATCTAATTGACTGTTTCCCACTTGAGATTCTTCAATAACAAGACTACGCGTGATAACAATCAATCCCAGATATCTCCATTTTTCGCAGTACTATAATCAATTCTGCTTCATTGTATTCGTAATTTTTGTATTCAGCAGTGTGCGTTTGTTTTTAGAAATATCTTGTAATAAGTCAAAAACGCATTGTTACTGTAGTTCAAAAATGAAAATAATAAAATGAAGAACAAAGATGATCAACACCGATATCAATTGTTTCATTACGCTTAAAATTCTTAGCTCTACATCCTCTACAAGTTTAGGGTGTGGGCATAGGCGGCGGAACGATTTCGATCGTCTTTTAATCATTTTTTAATTGATTTTTAATAAAATAGCGGAAACAAAAATAGTTTTATTGATTCATTCGATTATGATTGATTATTGTTAGATAGTTACGTTTACCTAACTCTTTATTTCTTCAAACCAACTTCAACTAGAATCACTTCAACTCTAACTTCTTCCAATACGACTTTACTTAGGTCTCTTGACCAATAGATAGATATGAGAACAAAGAGAGAGGTAGTGGTCGCAGATAGCCCCACTACCTAACAAGTATGATTGATTAAAACTTCATAAAAAAATTGATTACAATTTATGCAAATCGGTAAAGAGCGAAAAAAGCCTTTTGCATCGATCACCCAGAAGAACCAATTAAAGTCGATGTTTTTATGCAGCTTACCTTGATTATATGCAGAAATAATCGTGGTATACAATGAAACTTTAGTTTTTCAATTGTTAAAGATTAAAACTGGTTAAAAAATGATTGGAACTTTATACGAATCATATGATTGTAATCGACTTTCAATCAGTTTTTAATCGATTTTAATTTGATATAAATTCTAACTCTTGCATAAATGAAAGCTAATTGAGAAGTGATTTTTTTTGATTTGTATATAAAGGGGATCGCTTTAGGTTGTCTTACTAATTTTTAATTCTGTATAAGTGGAATAACTATCTAATGCGGTATAGTTTTTAGATGCAACAGCAAGTAAAGAAATGAATAAAAAATGCGAAAGACTGCTTGGAAAAAACCACTAAAAGAGTAGTCAAAGAAGAAGAAAAACTATTCAGTACGAAAGAATGTTCTATATTTCATTGTTTGTAGAAAAATCAGAATAGATACTTAATAATGATGATGCCGAGTTTTTGTTGATTCTAACGACGTTTTGTTGTACTATGAGTATCATTTAAATTCCTAATTTAAATTTCAACAGAAGACGGATTTTCACTAAAACTATTCCTGGTCTTGCTTTTGAAAGGAAGACATACTCTAACTCTGTTTAGTTCGCATTTCTGTACGGCACAAGTAATGTTATTCGAGTGTCTAATATTTAAAAGTACGTTTAAACAAAAGTTACAAAAACAGTTCAGCTATCTTAAATTAAGAATTACGAATTAGATGTCAATTTTAATGCCAAATACGTTCAACTAATACTTCATTGCGAGCGAGTTACTAGTAGAGAAAATATGAAATGATCTTGTAATAATGCGTTATTTGTTAGAAAAGCCCCAAAACCAAACAAGAATAAAACCATTTTGCATATAACAATCTATCCAAACATTTATCTGTTCCAGTTTCAGTCTATCAAAGTCTACTCACTTTCAGCTTAAAGTAGACTAAGCCTACCCACTTTCAACCTAGGGTAAGCTTGAGTCTCGCGAGCCTAATGACTCCGCCGCCTATAGATGTGGGCCTACCCATTCTATGTAATGAACACTAAATCCTCCCATACCCTCATGTCGATAGAATGGTTCCATTTGGTTTCACATTTTAGTCCCTAGGAATTACATTAAATAATGATTTCATAGGAAAAACGTATAGAATCTTGAAAGAACATGGCAACATGAAACTCTAATTTTTCTCTATGTATCACAAACATAAGCAATGAAAGATCCGAAAGTTTCAAGAATTCAAGTAGTTACGAGTAAAGTCAGTGTACGAAAATCGAGTTTCTCGCCGGAAAGAAGAATAGAAAATAAGCTTAAATCTTTACATTTTTATTTTTCTACTTTCTTAAATTGTAGCTGACTTACCGTGGACAAAAAAACAAGTATTATCGACCATTGCCAGAATTCTTGTTAATCTCAATCTGTTTAAAACAGCTAAGCGTGTACAAGTGCGAGATTTGAAGCAACAACGATGGTCAACTCATTTATTTATTATACTTCTATGCACTGCCATACTCATTATTACAACATACAACGGCACTAATAAAATTACAAGAACCATTATCGCCAATAATCCATCACTTGATAGTATTGAAGAATGGCAAGCAGATTCATATATTGCTTCTTCACTTCAATGTCCATGCTCACAAATTTCCTCTCCTTATCAAAGTTTCATTCATCTTACCGTTAAATATCATCAAATATGTTCTAGTGATTTCATTTCGCCCAGGTGGATCACCAGTCTCGAAGATGCTGCTGATCCCATGGCAGTGGTTTTCATCGCAGATTTGCGTTTCCATCCTGATTTTTTCGAACTACTAGGATCACTCTGCACATTTGCAAATAATACAATATCTAGTACTCTAACTGGTTTCAGCAATACTCAACTTGTTACAGCTGCACTACTTGTACGTCAGGTATTCGATTATCAAATGAATTCAGTCGCTGAGTTTTTCATACAATCAACAATCAACAATTTCCTGCGCTTAATACATATTCTCTCGAATGTCACACAAGTGAATCAATTTATCACAAACGCGTACAGTAATTTTGATGTTGAATTGGCTAATGTTTCGCATGAGTCAAGCAACATATTCTATCCTTATCTGGCGCCTTCTACATTCATTCTTATCGGCAACCAAACAGTGTCGTGTTTCTGCATAACCGAAATTTCGTGCAAAATCCAAATTGGCGTCTATATTGCAGCCAGTTATGCTATTCTCCTGTATCCTATTCCAGGAATGTTCACTGGTTGTATACCTATGTCATCATTATTGATCTCGACACTTGAGTGCTTTTATGATGACAGCGATTGCCTTTCTCAAACCGATAAGACAATGGAAAGAAATTTATCATCATGGGTGACTCATCTTGATTCTCATTTGCCCAGTCAATTTTTACAGAATACAACTATTAATGTACTTCTTGAACATATGTTCCTTGAAGTATGGACAATTAATAGTTCGTAAGTTCATTACACTAATGAATTTTTCACATTCTGTCCTAAGCTTCTTGTATTCTTAGGTTTGAACGTTACTTTAATGCTTGTGCAGTTCAATCATGTTCGTATATGATTCTTGAAAATTATGCGGCAATTGAAATAATTACAATTCTCTTCGGTCTCATTGGCGGCATTTCGAAAGCTTTAATTTTTACTGTACCATTTTTTCTCATGCTGGTTTTCTTCGCTATCGACCGGTTTCATCGTCACCGTGGGCACCAACCACAATCAACAGAGGAAAATCAAACAGAACGCGGATATTCACCAGTAAGAAGATATGTTCACAATTATTTTCATAAAACATGCTCGAGTAATTGCAGCAAACTGCAAAGCTATTTTCGATTGTAAGTTGTGCCTGAATAAAAGAACTTCCAGGCCTGCCTGCAAATAGAAAAAAAAAGATGAGAATGACTGAAGATCGAGATTGAATTCTATTAATCATTACAGTCTACACGACTCAATAAGTCTTTTTCTTCTTTTCTAAGGAGTTCCGTTCTCGATCCACATGATTACCACGTGTTAATATTGCATAACGAAGTTACTCAACATGAATTTATTCTCAAAGCCCACCAAAGCTGTTGAAAATGAATGCGATATTCGTTTACAACGTTTAGCGACTAAAATTTACACCATTCTACTTCTTCTTGCACTTGTTATACTCATTTTCTACTCATCTCTTACGTATACAACAAATATAAAAATTGCAAATATATCCAGTGTAGACGATTATGTCAAGTTGGCAAATGAATACAAAAATCTTAGTTTCACATCAAATTTTGAATGTCTTTGTCAAAAACTATCAATTGTTCGTTCATCTTATATTCAGAAACTTGAGCCATCATTGCATGATATATTTTCACCAACTTCCATCAATGATGAATGGCTCGGAATTTTATTCGATACTTATGCACACCTGGATTATTCTCAACTGCCAGTATATACATTTCAAGGAACGGCTTTGCCGCACTATCAAGCATTGAAAGCAATGTGTAACTTAGTACAAGAAACCGTCTATGCTGCACAAACACTTTTTCTCAATTCGGCTCTCATCATATTAGAGATAACTGATCAAGATGCATTCGAAAAAGATACGAATGAAGCCATTGAACAGTTCCAGCAGAATATCCCAAACACCTTCATTCATTTATTACAACTAGTAAATGGACTCAATCAAGCAAATGGGCTCGTCTCTGTCTATTCGAGCAACTGGCGTATGTACCTGTCACAGATGGTATCAATGCTCAGCCAGCTATTATCTCTTATGAACCTCAATATTACGGAGAGTGTAATTGTGCTACAGCAGCTACATGTACTCAACAACTAGAGCCGGTGATACCAGGCTACGTTGTCGGATGTTCGCCGCTTGAAGCTTTGTTACAATCGACGATTGAATGTCACTACGATGCCTCATGTATTCAATCAGTGTATTTATATACAACAAGTGAGTCTCATTCAAAAGACAAGTCATATAGCTAGTGTTTTTCTTTATTTTATTCAGGTTTTGACAATGTTACTGACCCAATTCAACCGCTTAATTATTCGCATACACGTTTTCTATGGAATTCTACAATAGCCACGCTTCTTGAAAATATGTTTATTGAGTCGTGGTCTTCGAATATATCATACAATAATTTCTTTCAGCAATGCCATCCATCAACATGTTCGAGTGCGCTTATTCAACGATTCAATCTGCTCTATATGTTCACGACAATATTTGGCATTTATGGTGGTCTCTCTACTATACTCCAACTCATTAGTCCATCCATTGCCAAATTTCTCTACAAATTTTTCCTTCGCCATCGAATACAAATGAAGAATGTTGAAACAGTCGAAAGACAAAACACACTTTAAGTTCATTCGTCATAATAAAATTGGTTTCAATTTACCGCTTATTCAGTTATCATTGAGTCTCTGTGTCTTTCAGTTCAGTTGCAATCGTTTCGATTACGAATATAAGAAAATAAAACAGTAAAATAGCACAAAATTTATATTTTCATTGAAAAAAGTCGCACAATCATTTAACTCATGAATCAACATAGTGAAATGTAAGAAATTATTTCTTTATCTTGAAATAAGCGGAAGTAAAGTCATCTACCGTTTATATTGTTTCAAAATCTGAAGAATAAATTTCTTCGTTAAATATCGACGAAAATAAAAATGCTGCCCTAGCCAATGAAAAGTTTTCATTAATTTGCGCATAGACAGAAAATTTCCAAAGATCACTGAAGTCAAATTTTTATCAATATCGTGATTTGCATCGTAGCAAACCATTGTAGAACACTAAAGTTGCAGACTTCGGGCTCCAAAAACGGCCCTGATAGATGATTCTAACCACATGAATATTGAGAAGTTGTGACTCGCTAGTAACACGTCCAGGTCCACCGATAATATCCGTAACTTGTTGTCTAGTCATGCCAATTTGTATACTATCGAACTTTCGTCGGGTAATTTTACCATAACGATGCCAAAACAAATCGTACCAAGGTGTGGTCGTTGCATATTCATCATTATAGTATGATGACCATGGTGCATCGCCGTAACTTGGTGCAATTTGATGATTCAGCATTCTAATTATTTTCTAAATGAAAATATCAACAGTAGTATATTTTGAATCGAAATCAGCGATCTTTCTAGTCTTTTTGTGTACTCAAAAAAAAAAGAGTACACTATAGAATCGGTCAGTGTGTCCGTCCGGCCGTCCGTTTATTCGATAACTCTTCACAATTACATTCGATTGAGCTGAAATTTTGTGCACAGAATTGTCTTATCAATATCTAGGTCGAGTTCGAAGGTGAGAAGGATCCGTCAAGAAATGGCTGAGTTGTCGAAAAAATTGTCATTTTTGATCAGATCATCCCTGAGGGGGAGTACAGGGATTTTTCAAAAACAAAAATTTCCTCAGAATTACTCACAACATATATAAATCGACTCAGTTTTTAACGCTGATTCTAAATCTGATATTAGTTTTGAACTAAGTCATAGCTTTCTAACGAAACATCGCCTGAAAAACGTCTCAAAATTCACAAAAACTCCATCCAGAAATCAAATTGTCTAGCTTCTCATGATAATTTTCGTGTTCAGGCATTCTAGAATGACTGATATGTCGCATGCACTTTTTGCAGTACACATAACTCTCGGATGAAATCCGAAGTTTCCACATTTATTTTAAATAGTAAGTAAACCCATCTCAATAGCGATTATACTCTCAGCTTCAGCACAAATGGATGAGTCACTCTGAAGATATATGTGCGTTGCAAGTATAACTACTCTACATTTAGTAGAGCAGTTATACTCGCAATATGTTTACCTACTTTTTATGTGTCTAAAGTGAATATGATAATGTACGCATATATGAATTCTTTTGATTCTTTTTCTTTTTCTATATCTTTCAACATGTGAACCTGTATATGGCACATTAAAATAAATGTTAAAAAAAATATGTTTACCTACTGTAACGATCAAGTAGATTAGAGTAGCTTGTGCCATTCTCGGCAAAGATGTTTATTAGGCTACTTCAAGTTATCCAGAGTGTAACGACACAACTAGAGAGTGTCGGGTATGCCCGTCGGCATGATGGTGTATTGTGTCATCTGACATCTCCAGAGTGTAACAACTTCATACGTAACACACGTATATATAGGAGAGATAGAAGGGAGACAGGAGAAAGTTACATTAGAACAATGGAAAGAGAACAGAAAGAGAAGGAATGAGAATCATCGAAGCGTGCCATCAATATCGGCACACCTACTATACAAAAATCACCCAAATCACTCATTCTTTTTTGTATATAATGATTTATAGCCACTAGAATATCAGTAGTACCGCCCTGCCTTATGTCGTATGAGATATTTTTCATTTTTCGCACTGTGTACGTCATTCACCTACGATTCGATAGAGTAATTAATTGCTACTACGTATTGATTTTATTAATTTTCACTCATCTCTCTCACGCTTGAATAAAATCGCACGTGTGGCTGTAAGCAGAAAATCAAAATGTTCTACAATTTAATTGCAAAGAGAAACAAAAATCATTTACTTTTCTTACTTTAATTGAATCAAATGGCAAGAAAAGAAGAAAAGTCACAACTAGATACGCTGTACGAAATTAGTCATACTTTGTTAATGACTATACAGGAGAACAACGAACGAAGATATCTATGCAGTATTTTGTGAAACAAGACCTGAAAGGAGTGTTGAAGTGTTAGGGTAGAAATTTGCACCCCCCCCCTG